GGTATCATCCCCATCGGTGCAAACGACGATGTTCATGCTATCATCGCCGCAGTCAAAAGTGTTTGCGACGCTTACGTAATCCTTTGTTGGACAGACTAGCATTTTACAATCGTAAGCAGTCCAGAGCTGAGCCGTTTGACGCGTTTTACACCTCCCGGAGAGAGTCGTATAATGCATGTGATTTTCCGGACTTGTCACTATGCACTACATGTTCGGGCCGAGTATGCGGAGGGTGCAAGTCCATCCTACAACAAGTCACAAATGATGTACTGCGTGACCGCATTGTCGTCGGAATATCCAACGAGGAAACCCGACACAAGTTGCTTGCCACACCAGACCTTACCCTGGATGCAGCCATCAAACCCTGCGGAGGAAGCAGCGTGTGACACCTCCCACAACATTCCTGGGCAGGCGGCGCATGTCAACGCCGCACGGAAGTCCGCGTACCAGCAGCAGAAGCGACAGTCTGCCTCTAACTCCTTTAATATGTCCTCTGCTGCTCCGAAAGAACCAGTTAAATGTCCAAACTGTGGTCGTTCCCCGCACACCAAGTCTGCATGTCCAGCCATTGGGAAATTGTGCAACGGATGCAAAGTTGCTTGCCATTTCCAATCAATGTGCCCGAAACGCAAGAAGCAAACTCAGATTGGCATGTTGAAGGTCCGGCAGGCGAAGGAGTCCGGCTCCGACACTGTTCGACTTGCAACACAGTTATGCCCTGAACCACAGCCAGTGCAGCTTCAATGGATCCCGCATACTGTGAGTGACATCGACGCAATTGGCATCCAGCAACTTTCCCTGTTCGGCGGATTCGTTGAGAATATCGACAGTGACTTTGACGACGTCCGAACAGCGAGTGGCGACAAGCTCGTCACTGTCGGCAAGATTTGTGTCACTTTCCAGGTCAATGACCAATCACATGACAGCGTGCTCCATGTTTTTGACGGTCTTGACGACGCACTGCTGTCACGTTCCTCATTGAGAGCCCTAAATTTCTTGCCGCCCGGCTAGCCCCAGCAAGTGTAAGTGTCCAGTGTCCTGGTTTGCATTGGCTTTCAGGTCCGCTCAAATGATCTTGAACCCGATATTCAAGCTCCTTTCGTTTTTGGCAAATGTTCGGGTTCAGTTTCATCCCACTGTTCTGACACTGACATATTTTCAACCATTCCATGATGATGACGTGTCGCCATAAGAACTACCTCCGCCGTCATCTATACCTGACCACTCCTGCAAAATCACGGACATAAACTGCAGTGGAAGGAAGATTGACTAAGGTGACTATTATGACTTTATCTCAAATTAAGGAACATAGCCAAAAGAATTATTTGAAGTTTTTTGGTTTGGGTTTGAAATTCTTTATTCTACACATGCATTTTTCTGATTTCTTCTCCAGTGTATGATTTATTGCATTTTTAAACCATTGTGTTAATTTGCCCGTAAAAGAGGTCTAAAAACAAAACAAAAACATAGCCATAATTAATAGGCGGTGAAACTTGTATCTTCGCTAGGAGTGAAACCTAGAAGGTAGTGTAGTAACCACTGCAGCGTCAGCTGAGTACCCGCTAGGCTAACCACGTGGCGTGCAGCATGTAGCATTTTGACCGGCGCAACAACACATTGCGTTGTGAGATTTCGCCCTGTTGTGAGATTTTACAGTGCCCGGCAACGGCACTGTCACTCTCACTTCTCTTGGTGATATAATCTCAAATCACAACAAAACAATACCATTTTATTCGTTTTGTCCACTGAGGATATTTTTACTTAGAGTGAAACTAAAGTAGAGAAGGTTATCTCCTGAAATTTTTTTTGTTCGTGATCTAATCTTTGTTGCGTACGGATAACGATCAGATACTGTACAGAGATGTCGCGTATCGGAGAATGGGATGTTGAGGAGCAGGGTGCTGACGAGAGGGATGAAGAAAAGATGGACGTAAAAAACAGAATGTTGAAGAGCAGGATTTCCAAAGGCCGGATTCCAAGAAGCTGAACGCCCAAAAGCGAGAAGGCCAAAACCTGAATTGCCAGGGGCAGGTCTCCAAAGGCGAAACCGGCTATGCCATGATTCTCAAGAGGAGCAGGGTAAAGTTGATCGCTCCAAGGGCTGGACGCCCAAGAGTGGGATGCCGGAATGCAGGACGAGGTGAAATGGGCATGTGGCGGGGATTCTGAAGAGCGCCATGCCCAAGAGACGGACACCCAAGGCAAATACTGGGCATTCAGGGATGCCCAAGCGCGAGATGTGCGCGTCCAAATAGGGGCATGTCGAGATTCTCACGCTCAAGAACAGCTCGCCCAAGAGCAAGATGTCCAAGCCAAGCAAATTGAATGCCGGGATTCTAAAGCATCGCACACACAAGAGAGGCTTGACGGAGAGTGACTCACCCGAGAGCTGCTCACCCGAAAGCGGCTCGGCCGTAAACGTTTCACCAAACAGTGGTACTCACAACCCCGGCTCGTGCAAGAACGCCGCATCCAACAGCGGCAGGCTCTCGAGAAGCTCGCCCAAAAGCGGCTCACCAAAGAGTGGATCTCCCGACACTGGCATGCCCGAGTGCGGCTCTACCGATAGCAACTAAACCAAGAGCAGCTCAATGGAACGCAGATCACTCAAGGGCGAGCATGTCCAAGAGAGTCTCGTCTAAGAGCTAGAACTCCAAGTGCAACACTTCCAAGACCCAAAGCCCTAGGCCTGAAATAGCACGCGCAATCAAAGAATTGGCCATGCTCTGATTCTCAAGAGTGACACGCCCAAGAATTGCCAGGCGAATCAGACAAACGTACATGATACGATTCTCAAGAGCAGCACGCCCAGCAGCAGTCGGACGCCTAGCAGCGGTGTTGTGAACCCTTGTCATTCTCTAAAGTTTCAGGAAAGAACGACCCCACGGCACGAGGACAACAGTTACTATTTTCTCTTCAACAGTATCATTATTATTATTCTTTATTCCCACGATGGCCCATGGCCAATAAGGAAGATAATATGATTCAAATCAGTCCAGAATATAAAATCAGTTTAGCAAGTAAGGAAACCAACACATTGCAGGGGGGTTACGATGGGGGTACAGTGTGAGCTACTACTGGAGCATATGGATGAAAAAATTAGGCTAGATGCCATTGATTTAAACGTATGCTTGGTATTTGTTTCTCGCAGGTCGGGGGTTAGTTGGTTGAAATTGTGAAGGGACAAGTTGATGGGTGAGTTGGTGTGTCGGTATGGTGTGATGTTCTCAATGTGTATGTTCTCATGTGTCGTAGTGCATATGGCTGCTCTGTAATTGGTCGTGCAAGGTGAGGCTGTTGCAGGTGAAGGGGAGCGCGGATGTACTTGATGTTGTCGGCAAGAGTAACCTGTCGTAAGAGTTGCCGGGAGACTAATATGGGGAGTTGGAGATGATGAAGAGGTGAGCTGTGATGGACTGGTGCAAAAAGGGGGATCCGCAAGCAAATACGAGCTGCTCGTCGCTGAACGCGTTCTAATTGGTCCTTCTGTGTACGGGTGGTGTTGTATAACACGAGAGGCGAATGTAGGCGGTGTAGATTACGAGCAGACTGGGTGTGTTAAGTTGGCCTCGTGTTTTACGAAGTTGGTGAAGGAGTGTTTTGGATTTGTTTATTATGTGCGTGACATGTGAGTTGCATTGGAGGTTGTTTTGTAGTATGATTCCAAGGTGACGGTGTTCGTTGACTTGCTTTAGGGTGTGCCGTTAAGAGTGATGTTGAGTTGGTGGTTTGGTGTGAACGACAAGATAACGGTCTTTGAGGCATTGACGAGGAGGTGCCATCTGCGCAGTCAGGCTGCAGCAGCTGAAACAGTATATTTCACTTGATCGAATAATAACTAACACTTAAACCGCCAGGTAGTTATAGCGTGAATGGGAGTGGGATGCTATTCAGCGTGATCCTGATTAAGCTACCCAGGGCTGGGAAGTGCGTGGCGCGGAAGTGTGCGGGGAAGGGGGGGGGGGGAGGCATGCTCGGATTCTGATTCCTAATCTGAGACCATTATGCTGTGCATTTTCTCGGAATGAGAATTGACAGAAATCGGTCAGTTTGCTCTACGGTCTTTGGCATGCAAGACGAATATTCAAGTAGCAAAAATAAGTAGTTGGCTTTTAGTGCTAAAGGTGTACACGCAAATGAGGCAATCTTGTCACGTGGAGACTAAAAAGGCCACGTGTCAATAGCGTGGATACGACACTAGTACAAGCGTAAGTGTAGTGCACTCCTGCCGGCTCCTGAGCATCTGATTCTCCTCCCCGCACTAGACTGCAGTTTCATCAGTCGCAAGGCAGCTTAGCGGTTTAGCATCCCCCTCCGTCCACGTTCCAGCGATGCCTTGCCACTAACCTTCCTATGCGCCTTCGTGCCAACCTGGAATACCCGGCCACTTGCAATTCCAAGCGCAGCACCATGCCACCGTGGCCTCTAAAACTTCAAACTGAAGACCTACCAGCATCTCCCACGCAAGGACTGGGTTTGGCCAAGTGATGCCTTACGCACTGGACAGTCCACAGCAGGACGCCACCTTGCTCCAGTGGACCCAGGACGTCAGATCTTTGTTAAGCAGAGAAACTCTCTTATTACCATCGTTGAATTGGCAACATGAGTAAACGTGAGGCCGCAGCTGGTTTCAAGATGTCGCCATTAAACCAAGTGTGACTTGTCAAATGTGAAGAAGTGAAACCTAAGCGCTAAAGACATAGCCACCCCTCCCCCCCCCCCCTCCCCCATCTCCACAGTGCAACTCTCGACATCACATACACCTGCTTTCTCCGCGATGACACTGTCACCTTCGCTTCTCTTGGTGCTATTCATCTCACAGTACGATGAATCCAGGCCCATGTATAAGTTGAAAGTTTCGAATTGTAAGAACATTGTCTACTATTGAATGATTCACTTAGGAGGAATGTCCTGTAGAGACATTTGAAAGGTTATCCACCGGCCTTTCTCTTCAGCGTTTTCTTTTTTTCTTAAGGATAACGGAAAGATACTATATCAAGATGCCATACATCGGAGAACAGGGTGTGGAAGAGCGGGGCGCTGAAGAGCCAGATTCCCAAAAGCTTCACGACCAAGAGCCGGATGACCAAGAGCAAGACGCCCAAGATCCGGACACCCATGGGCAGGACACCCAAGGGCAGGACACCCAAGAGCAGGACACCCAAGAGCAGAACGACCAAGAGCTGGACGACCAAGAGCGGTCCGCTGAAAAAGGGCCGTGTCGGGATTCTCAAGAGCTACGCGCCCAGGAGCCAGATGCCCAAGCCAAGGAAACGGCATGCTGGGATTGTGAATTTCAGGATGCCCGAGAACGGCTCGCCCGAGAAATGCGCGCCCGACAGCGGAATGCCCAAGAGCAGCGCGTCAGAGCATGGTTAGAATCAGTGCAAGATACGCAAGCTGGGCGACAGGCATTCCGGGAATCTCAGGAGCGGCTGACACAAGCGCAGGCCGAAGGAATGCAGCTCACCCAAGGGTTGCATAGACATGTGCTTGGCCCCCAAGACCGGCAAGCTGGACAAGAGGAGAGGGATGACCAAGGCGAAAAACAGCCAAGCCAGGTTTCACAGGAGTGTTGGTTCCCTGGAGGGCCTGGCGCTCAGTTGCGGTATGTCCAAAAGTTGCAAGTGGCATGTCGAGTCAACGCCGCGAAACATTATCTAAAGATGTTATGCGCAAAAACTGTAGCCGGATGCCCCACAGCGGGACCAGGACGCGCCCAACAGCGGGGCCAGGACGCCCAACAGCGGGAGCCGGACGCTCAACGGCGGGAGAAGGATGCCCTAAATCCGGACCTGGACCCACTAAATCGGGAGCAGGCCGCCCATTTTCGGTAACAGGGCGACCAAAATCGGGAGCAGGACGCCCAAGACCGGAACACGGAAGTGCTGGGAGGAGAAAAACGGCCATGCTCCAATCCTGAACCTAAATCTGACCAATAAGGTCATAGTACTCTGCATTGTTACAGCCTGGGATATGAGTGTACCGCGAATAGGTCAGTTTGGTTTTCTTTGGGCATGCAAGACCAATATTAATATTCAAGTAGCAATTAACTACATGCAGCAGAAGGTAGTTTGAATTCACGTAATCCAGCAGGATACATACAACTAGCAGTCTTCTGTCGACAAGTTTGCTTTTCAGTCGGTGTTACCGATTGCAAGTGCATAGTCATTGTACAGTTCTGGCCGAATAAATTCGACCTCATGATTACGTCAGCGCATTCACTCAAGCATGCATTTCCAGCATTGTTGCATAGCTTGTTCACGTATCCATCGCACATCTTGGTTTTATTTCTTTTCTTGTCTAGATACGTACGCTGTGTACTTCCTATGTCATGTCTTGCCATCTGAACCTCGTTCGGAATTCTATGCCAGGCCCAAGCCGAACAATGGCACAATGTCAATGGATATTTTCGAGGTTGCTATTACCCGGTAATCTGTAAGAGTTGTCTGGCTTTCAATATAATAATTATCCTTGAAGCAATTGTGTGTAATTCCATTCTGATGTACTATCCTGTACAAGACCCAGACTTAAACACTCAACAAGGTAGGCTTTGACAGGCTTTGACAACAACACTTGTTTTACTGAAGATGCAATCTTCTCGTTAGAGGAGGGGAGAGAAGTAGCAGGGCAACACAACAAGGGAACATTATGGGCTCTGAGAAGGAACCTTGGCTTATAAGGAAAGCCAACAACGCCGACCAACAGTCTCGACCAAGCTGCAAGGTTAGTAGCTTTATCGTTTTGTTCGCACAATTCAGGTTTCAATTTACTTATGTACGTCTTCACATCCTTCAACCCTTTGTTGTTGTTGTTGTTGTTTATTTTACTTCGCAGATTCTAACGGGCAAGTTGCCCAATAACAAGAAAGCGAATGATTCTTTCAACCGTGAAAAATACGAACAAGCATCAAAGTAAAGTAAAGCAAATTTAATCGAAAAAGCCTAGGCCCAAACTTATGACCACAAAGAAAAATATCAATCCTTGTGATTAGCTATTTGACATGTCATCGCCTAAAACCAATTTAGTCCTTGCTAACACCCTATCAGTGAACTGTTTCCCCAATTTTATCAGTTCGTAGGTCCTCCGTCTGGCTTGATGACCGCCTTCATGTGAGGTGAAATGGCCCCAACACGTTTCGCAAACTTTTCCCTGCTGATCGCGTCTGCCACGGCGACTTTCACACGTGACGACCCATGTGCGAGCTACAAAGTACAGGTCGTCCCTCGTTAAAATAATCTCTCGGACTTGAAAAATGTTGTGTACTTCTGCCTACTCTGCACGCGTGTGTTCATCTCATTGGCCTCGCTCGTTCCTCATTTCTTTTGTCCATTTGGCTTAAGGGAAGACTGGTCAAGCTTGCTTGGTGATGTCAACGCGAAGAAGTGTATAATAATAATAACACTAACGGGTAACTGGTTTATGTATGGCACGTGAGGCAGCCAGGAAGCCACGACGCCGACGAAATCCACGCCGTGGGTTTTTTAAACTACCGTTCAAGTCTGATCGGATCCATCACAATGTCAGCAAAGCAATTAATAATAATAAGTAATAATAATACCACAGCACGTGTAATAATATAATTATGTGGGTATAATTATACGTTCTGCTTCAGCAAAGCAATTCGGAAATATAAATTACTCGTGAGGGTTGTTTACGAACATTCTGGCAGTCTTTGTCGCCAACTGTGTCGCTCTGCGCAGGCTCCACACACATGTATCAAAGAACCCAACATTACTCAAGGCAGGAGACGAGGCTGTCCACTAGGTCCGTGTTTGACCTGTTAGTCTGGAGGTGAGCGAGTGGGTATGCAAAAGAATGTGATCTACCGTTTGCGATGCAAGTGGTGCAGCGAACACTACGGCGGAGAGACTGAGAGATCATTGGAACCTAGACTGACGGAGCATAATGGAGAAGCGTGCCGCCGTACCCGCGATAAGCCCTGGGTTGAGCACATGCGAACCAAGTCTGCCCAGAGGAGACTGGCGCTGGGGGATACTATTTTTGCGGATGTGTCAGTATTAGCCAGGGAAGGTGACAGGACAAGCAGGAAGTTGAGAGAATCTGTGGAGACAAGGAAGCTGGGACCACAAATCAACATCAACGCTGGCTGGGGACTTCTGTGAGTATGACAGTTCGCTCAGTGTTACTCAACATCGCACCTAGAAAATAATACTGTGCGTTGAGTTACTCACTCTTGATATGTGAGCACTGAGGTGACATCTGACACTAGCTGGTATTTTTGCATCATCATAGTGATCATACACCAGTGCACTGTGCAATATCAATTTGTTGGAGTGTGTGTGTGTGTGTGTGTGTGTGTGTGTGTGTGTGTGTGCGTGTAAGCATGTGTGTGTGTGTGTGTGTGTGTGTGTGTGTGTGTGTGTGTGTGTGTGTGTGTGTGCGTGGGTGTCTGTGTGAAAGCATTTCGGTCCTTTCGTGAATTTATCACCACATTGTATTCTTTGAATAATTGTTGTTGGTATCGTACTTCTTTTAGTTATCATTATCTTTATGATTCTGGCACGTCACGGTGGGTGCGATGTAGATCCTCATAGCATCACAAAATTAATTGAATGTATTTAACTGCTTCTTTGCGAACTTGCACACCATTGCATACCCGATGAGGGCAATTTTGCCGAAACGCTGTTAAAAATTGATTGAGAAATGAGTTCGAGTTTTGCAGAGTGAATGGGAAGAGAGCGAGTCTGCCCTGAAAACATTTTTTCCTACGAATGAACCTGCAGGAAGCGTCACCACCACTGCTACTAAAGTGTTTATGTACTAAACGAAAGTCTTCAAACCTTGGTTGGGTAACGGAAAATTTCACATTTTCAACTTTTCTGGGTGTTTCTTGCTACCGTGACTAGGCAGTAGGGACCGGCGGATTCTGCTCGAAAAGGTGGCATATTCTGCTCGAAAAGTAGTGAAATTGGCAGAACCATACAAACCTTATGGCGGGCAATTCCTCGAATTCTGCTCCATTTCTTTATCCATATACTAAACATGCATGAAACTTACCAGAAACAGTAACGAATTCTGCCAATTTTTCTGCCGCCAGAATCCGCTGGTCCCTACTAGGGAGCAAGATATTCTTGATTCCCTCGATATAGCACAAATTGTTTTGTTATAACGGTCACAGTCTATATGTTGGACTCAGTAGAGCGTCCAGCCCCTATATGATGTCCAACCCCTATATAGAGTCCATTGGTCCAAAATCCACTGTACAGAGTCCAAACTTGGAATCAACTGTGAGCTCAAAGTTTAGATGGACATCACTCCCTGTATAGAGTCCAGCCAATTGGCTTCACCCCTATATAGAGTCCATTGGTCCAAAATCAACTGTACGGAGTCCAAACTTTGAAATCAACTATAAAGATTAAAGATTCTTTATGTGGACAACACTCTGTATAAAGTCCAGCCAATTAAGCATCCCCTAACGAGTTCGAAATTAGACATAGGATCTGCTGTAAGCAGTGAATATTAACCAGACAACGGTCTCTCCCTTTAATCCTTTGCATCATTCACTTCTCAAGAAAAAAATATGTATTGAGGCGCCGCTGCAGCAACTTCATTACATGAAAAAGCCTACAAACACCATCCTCAAATCAAGTGGTCTCTTCGCAGACGCTGCAAATTAAAATATGTCAATCATGTAGTGTTGCCAAATTATTGTGCACGCACACACACATGCACACACCCACACAACGCCAAGAAAATACCTAGAAAAAAACAAGAATCGAAAGAGAATAATGGAGAGCCCAGGATTAATTATTTGTTTTCAAATTATTGCGCGCGCGTGCACACACACACACACAAACTTACACAACGCCAAGAAAACACCAAGAAAAGAGTAGAGACACAATACACGCACAACTCCAACAGCCATACAAACGTCCACCCATTTACACGTAAAGTCAAGAGGGATAACAAATAATTATACGACACGAATGCATACAGGGACGGGTACACGCACGTTTACATACACGTAATAGTGTAAGAGAGTAACATAGTGCAGTGGTCAGCATAATACTAGCACATGCTGAGAGTGCAATAGCAAGCTTCACCCTTGCTCATGGCCATGCAAATGTTCAGCAGCACTCAGTTCCGCAAGCTTCTGAAGATCAGCACACCTGCAACAAATAGACAGCACACGGATACGCTTATTACCGTAATGATGCATGGGAGCACACAACAACCAAGTTCTCAACGAATGTGATGCTCAATGAAAATCAATCCACTCAAAGACCTGTGAACAGGTGACGGTGGGGACAATAATCTATTAGTAATACGAGGAATAAGATCGTTTGTGCACACTCAAGACGCACCGACACACCAACATCACAATGTCATGTTCGTGACATCAAAACGGTTACTTCAGAGAATACGAGTATTAGCTTGAGAAGCTTTTTCTTGTCATTGGCAAACAAGCAATCCTCCTACTACTACTAGTACACTGGCCCTGCGTTTGTGGATCCCATTGTATTTGACATCATACTAGAGGAAGAGTGTCGTGGAGTTTCACATAATTATCACAGGGATAAAAATACATTTCTCATGCAATAATTATAATAATTGATGATAGCTAGACAATCGTATATGATTGATGCAAAGTCCTTGCAGTCCTTGAGGACTATTACGAAGTGGTTGATTACTAGGGCATTCATTCAAGCAACATCAAACAAACGCGATACGCTCCTTGAAAATGGAAAAAAAATTCAAGCATAACGACAGAACAGCAGACCAATCGAAACGAGTAAAAGCTTCCTTACCTCAGTCTTCGTCCTGCCATGTAGTTGGACAGCCTTTTGACACGGTGGTACAGGCAGCTCTTGTC